AGATGGGGACCTCCTCTTGTTTTTTTGTGGATTGATGGTAACCCAGACATAGACTTGATGCAGAAGCTGTGATTTTTTTTCACAAGAGTAGTGAGAAGGAGCATTGATTCTTAATTCACACTTAAAAGGGAATACTTTTATTTTTAAAAATATAGTTTCAGGCCGAGTATGGTGGCTCATGTCTATAAGCCCAACACTTTGGGAGGCTGAGGTGGGTAGATCACCTGAGGTCAGAAGTTCAAGACCAGCCTGGCCAACATGGTGAAACCCCATCTCCACTAAAAATACAAAAATTAGCCATGTGTAGTGATGGGTACCTGTAATCCCAGCTACTTGGGAGGCTAAGGCAGGAGAATCACTTGAACCTGGGAGGCAGAGGTTGCAGTGAGCCAAGATGGCACCACTGCATTCCAACCTGGGCGACAAAGCGAGATTCTGTCTCAAGAAAAAAAACTATATACACACATACACACACACTACACATATATATATACATACAGTTTCAGGATTTTACCTTCCCTTCACCTAGCAAGGAATAATGCATCTTACCTTGCCAGATAGTCACAGAAGGTATTGCCTTGTCTGCTGCCTGTGGATGGGTAAAATACATTTTGTTTTGTTATTGAGATGGAGTCTTGCTCTGTTGCCCAGGCTGGAGTGTGGTGGTGCCATCTCGGCTCAGTGCAACCTTCACTTCTCGGGTTCAAGTGATTCTCCTACCTCAACCTCCAAATAACTGGGACTACAGGCGCGTTCCACCACGCCCGGCTAATTTTTTGTCTTTTTAGTAGAGATGGGGTTTCACCATGTTAGCCAGGATGGTCTCGGGCTTCTGGCCTTGTGATCCACCCACCTCAGCCTCTCAAAGTGCTGGGATTACAGGTGTGAGCCACTGGGCCCGTCCAAAATACTTTTAAAATGTTTTATTTTGGCCAGATGCAGTGGCTAACCCCTGTAATCCCAGCACTTTGGGAGGCACAGCCAGGCAGATAAGGTTGGAGATCAGCCTGACCAACATAGAGAAACCCTGACTCTACTAAAAATACAAAATTAGCTGGGCATGGTGGCACATGCCTATAATTCTAGCTACTTGGGAGGCTGAGGTAGAAGAATCACTTGAACCTGGAAGGCAGGGGGTTGCGGTAAACCAGGATCATGCCATTGTACTCCAGCGGGGCCAACGAGAATGAAACAATGTCTCAAAATTTTTTTTTGAGTCAGAGTCTCAGCCGGGTGCTGTGGTTTACACCTGAAATCCCAGCACTTTGGGAGGCTGAGGCAGGCACATCACGAGGTCAAGAGATCAAGACCATCTTGGCTAACATGGTGAAACCCCATCTCTACTAAAAATACAAAAATTAACTGGGCGTGGTGGTGGGCGCCTATAGTCCCAGCTACTCTGGAGGCTGAGGCAAGAGAATGCTTGAACCTGGGAGGCGGAGGTTGCAGTGAGCCAAGATCATGCCATTGCACTGCAGCCTAGGCAACAAGAGCAAAATTCCATCTAAAAAAACCCACAGTCTCATTCTGTCACCCAGACTGGAGTGCAGTGGTGCAGTCATAGCTCACTGCAGCCTTGAACCCCTGGTCTTAAGCAGTCCTCCCACCTTGGCTTCCCAGAACGCTGGGATTAGAAGTGTTAGCCTGTAATTTACTGCCTGGCGGTAAAATACTTAATTGTGCTCTTCCCTCCTGCAGGCATGCTATGTTGCCCGGGCTATTGCTGAGATCATAGCTCAATATAGCCTCTATCTGTCAGGCTCAAGTGATCCTCCCATCTCAGCATCTAAGAGCAGCTGGGAATACAGGTATGCACCAACATGTGAGGCTAATTTTTTTTTGGCATGGGATCTCACTATGTTAATACCCAGGCTGGTCTTGAACTGCTGGACTCAAGCAATCCTTTCACCTTAGCTTCCCAAGGTGTTGGGATTATATGTGTGAACCACTGCGCCCAGATTTCTTTTTGTTACTTAAATTTTGTTTTCAAGAAGTTTGAATCTGATACTCCCATATTTTAAACATATCCATCAGCAGGGCAAGTTGGCTCCCACCTGCAATCCTAAGTGCTCGGAAGGCTAAGGTGGGAGGATCACTTGAAGCCAGGAGTTTGGCATCATCCCAGTCAACTCCATCTCTAAAAAGATAAAATGAGAAAGTTGGGTGTGGTAGCATGCACCTGTAGTCCTAGCTGCTCTGGAAGCTGAAGTGGGAGAATCACCTGAGTGCAGGAGTTTGCGGCTGCAGTGAGCTCTGCACCCACCTGGGTGACAGGAGGCCCTGTCCCTTTAAAAAAAAAAAAAAAAAAATCCATGACAAAGGAGTTAAGCAATCAGAGACTGGGCGTGGTGGCTTACACCTGTAATTCCAGCACTTTGGGAGGCCAAAGCAGGTGGATCATGAGGTCAGGAGTTCTTCAAGACCAGCCTGGCCAATACGGTGAAACCCCATCTTGGCCAGGCATGGTGGCTCACGCCTGTAATCCAAACACTTTGGAGGCCAAGGCGAGCGGATCACCTGAGGTCAGGAGTTCAAACCAGCCTGACCAACATGGTGAAACCTAGTCTTTATAAAAAACTAAATAAATAAAAATAAAGAAAGAAACCCCATCTCTACTAAAAATACAGACGTCAGCTGGGCATGGTGGTGCGCTGCTGTAATCCCAGCTACTCGGGAGGCAGAGTTTGCGGTGAGCCAAGATTGAGCCATTGCACTCCAACCTGGGCAACAAGAGCGAAACTCCGTCTCAAAAAAACAAAACAAAACAAAACAAAACAAAACAACTGAGCTGGGTGGCTCACGCCAGTAATCCCAACCCTTCGGGAGGCCAAGGTGGGCGAATCATGAGGTCAGGAGTTTAAGACCAGCCTGACAAACATGGTGAAACCCCTTCATGCCTGTAATTCCAGCACTTTGGGAAGCGGAGGTGAATGGATCACCTGAGGTCAGGAGTTAGAGACCAGCTTGGCCAACATGGTGAAACCCCGTCTCTACTAAAAATACAAAAATCAGCTGGGCATGGTGGTGAACGCCTGTAATCCCAGCTACTCAGGAGGCTGAGGCAAGAGAATCACTTGAATCTGGAAGTTGGAGGTTGCAATGAGCCAGCTAATTTTTGTACTTCTTAGTAGAGATGGGGTTTTGTCATGTTGGCCAGCCTGGGCTTGAACTACTGACCTCAGATGATCCACCCGCCTCAGCCTCCAAAAGTGCTGAGATTACAGGTGTGACCACCTCACCCAGCCCTAAAACACCATCTCTTAAAAGAATAAAATAATCCGCTGGGTGTGGCAGTAGCTGGGATGCTGGAACCACAAGTGCCTTGTTAAGGGCTGAGTGCAGTGCCTGACACATACACACCCTCCCAGGAATGGCATGGAGAATAAACTTCAATTGAGTGCTGGGGAAGCATGCTTGGTAACCCTCAGCAGTCACCTACCAAGTGACCACCTCTTTCCAGGTTTACCAAATCCAAGTTCCAATGCCCCAGGCCTATTCTGGTCAGAGACACCCTGGTACTGTGCCGCAGTCCCCAGCTTTGAGTTCTGGCCTCAGGGAGTGAAGTCCCAGTCACCTTACACCTCCCCCTCATCGTTGTTCCCATCAACTCTAAACCTGTGAAACCACCCTTAGGTCCACAAGCAGCACCACCTAAGGCTCCCTGAGCTGGGTGTGATGATGGGCGCCTGTAGTCCAGCTACTCAGGAGGCTCAGGCAGAAAAATCATTTCAACCTGGGAGGGAGAGGTTGCAGTGAGCCGAGATGGAGCCATTGCACTCCAGTCTGGGTGGCACAGTGAGACACCACCTCCAGCATCTGTTCCAGAGATGGCTGTTTCTTCCTCTTCCCTTGTACCATGTGCAGTCAAGATGTGGGTCGCAGGCTCAGCACAGTGGTTCACACCTGTTATCCCAATACTTTGGGGGGCGCTGAGGAGGGAAGACTGCTTGATCCCAGGAGTTAAAAGTCGACCAGCCTGGGCAACATGGTAACCCCCCCCCCCTTTTTTTTGAGACGAGATGGCACCACTGCACTCCAGCCTGGGCAACAAGAGCAAGACTCTGCCCCCCCCCAAAAAAATTGCAGGTCGCCTGTATCATGATGGAAATGGGGCGTGTAGAGGCAGGGCTGTGCCAGAGGGGAAAACCTGGCTTAGATGCACTCCCTAAGAAGTGGGGACAGTGCAGCCTGTGGCTACCCAAATGCATCAGAGCCTGATGGAAACCCGAAGACGTCACATTAATAGAGGCCAAAGTGATTAAAGGACAGCTGCTGCGAGGAGCTGCTACCAGGAATTCTCTCCAATGAATTCCTCTTAGAAGAAACAGAAGGGGGGACGAGTTGAATTTTAACCAAAATGCTTGGAGCCTCTCAGATTTCAGTGCCATGGGGTTTTAAGAGAGCAGAGTTCAGGAACGAGGTGCTCCTTTGTAGCGGGTGTCTGGGTATATCCCATTCCCCCAACATTCTCAGTCACAGCTACCTTCCAGAGACCACCTTCTCCCCACCATCATGCCCATTTCAGAACAATGAAGAACTAGAGAGCTTTTTCTTTTTAATTCAGAAAGAGAAAGGGAAGGAAATAAAAAAGTTTGTTTAAATAACTATTGCAGAAAAGATGTGGCTGGATGCTGGGACCTACCTCTTAAAGGATGGGTATTTAATTTTTTGAGACAGAGTCTCGCTCTGTCGCCCAGGCTGGAGTGCAGTGACACAATCTCAGCTCACTGCAACCTTCACTTGGGTTCAAGGGATTCTCATGCCTCAGCCTCCTGAGTGGCTGGAATTACAGGTGCACACCACGATGCCCGGCTAATTTTTGTATTTTTTTGGTAGAGACAGGTTTTGGCCATGTTGACCAGGCTGGTCTTGAACACCTGACCTTGAGTGATCTGCTCACCTCGGCCTCCCTAAGTGCTGGGATGACAGGTGTGAGCCACTGTGCCTGGCCAGATTCATGATTTAAAACAAAGAAACAAGAAATAAATTATTTTGCTCAATACTGTTTGGCATAATTGCATTGTTTTTCATATTTTCAACACTCAAAACAGCCTCTTCAGGAAACACTGAGATGGGAGTGGCAAGACTGGCTGGGTCCTAGCTCTCTAAAACCGTGGGGATTGGGGGCGCCCCAAGAGGCATTGTCCTCCCATCACCCCCATTTTTACTCTTCCTACTTTCGGAATTGGGAAGGACCACATTCAAGCTAAGTTCCCAATATATTAACTTTCAGAGGTGCCCACTGCCCGTCCCAACCCTCTCCTAACCAAGTCCCCTGCCGGTCCCTGTTCCCCCATCCAGCTGCAGGAACCCACCAAGGGCCAGGAGGCTGCCTGGTGGTGTCAACTAGGAAAAGGGGGAGCATCTGCACCGTCACTGTTGGGAAGGGGGTTCTATTAGTGGTCTGAGAGCTTCACAGAAGCCCTTGCCCCCTCCTAAACTTCCCCAGCCTCGAAGGGGGAGAATTCACCAGCAGCCCAGTCAGGGACCTAAGCTGGGTTCAGCCATGCAAGCAGCTTCCAGGTGGAACCCTAGCCGCGAGCTTCTCAGCCCTTCTAGAGCAGGAGATGGAGAGCGGGGTAGAGGGAGATGACCTGCTGTGCACAAGTCTCCTCTTCCCCGGCCGGCTGCGGGTTGCGGGCTGGGCCAGCTCAGGATTTGCAAATAATCTGCGGGTCGGCCACCCTTGGCAGCTTCGGCGTAACCAAAACATGAGCCCTAGGCAGTCATCCCCAAGCGAGAGGCGATGGATGAAGGAGGTGCATGCAGCGAGCAGCCGGGCCCATCGCCAGCCTCCTTCCGCCATTCAGCCACCTCCCCAGAGCTGGCCAAAGACTGGGGAAGGGAGGGAGCCGGGAGGCAGGGTTTTTTTCCAGAGCAACAGGTAGGCTGGTGAAGAGGCCCCGGGCCCAGGGAGAGGCGCTGAGAAGGCTGCGGGTGAACAGGAGGGCCGAGGGCACACGTGAGTGAGAGCACCTTGCACTGGAGGGGACAGGGCTTCCTGCCCTGTCCCCTCCACCTGTCCGGAGTTCGGCCCGGGCGCACCCCACCCTGCAGGGGACGCCACTCCCGGCTTCCTGGAGACGCGAGAGGCCCTGGGGAAGCGGCCGTCCCACAGTGCTGCCGAGGCGGGGCGGGGTGGGACAGCGGGTCCCGCGCCCCGGGCTCCGCCCCGACGGCGTTTCTTTGGTGGGTCTGCACGCGCCCATCCGGGCCGGCGGGGAAAGGGGCCAGGCGGCCACCGCTCTCCTGAGGCCCGCAACGACTGCGGAGGGCGCCCACTCCCCTCCCGGGCCGGCCAGCGACTGAGACGCTCCTTCGGCGGAGCCTGAAAGAAGTGCTTCGCCAAGGCCCACAGCATGCTCTCCTCCTCAGAAAGCGGGAAAGAAAACGCTAACCCAAAGCATAAGAAGTGGGGACTGAGCGGCCACCGGCCCGCCCCCGAAGGCCATTGATTGGAGGAGACGGGACCCAGCACCGGAAGTTCTCCTTGAGTCGCATGATTAGCGGGGAGAAACAGAAGCTCCGCCCGACTGCAGCGCTGATTGGTGCCAGGCCCAGCCGGTCCCGAGTCTCATGATTGGCGGGGGACAGCAGGCGCCCCCTGTACTGCAGCATGATGGGTCCCAGGTCCAAGGTCCCAGGTCCCAGGTCCCGGGCCGGAGCGCGGGCGCCTTACGGTTGTGCCGGGAGGAGCACGGCGAGGCCCGGCTTAGTTACCCCGGTAGACCTCAATCTTGCTGGCCTTGGCCAGCATGTCGATTATGTGGGCCTCGAAGTCCGCGTCGTGTACGCCTGTCTTCCGGAACTCGCCCGCATACCGGTTGTTCTCCCAGTAGTGGTGCCAGTTTCCCCGGCTGTCGGCCCCGAACCCGTACACGTTCACCTGCGGGGAAGCGCGGCGCAGCGTCACCCCAGGTGGGGACCCAGAGGGCGGCTGGGGCGGCCTTGGGATGACAGGGAGGACAGGGGAGAGGGAGGCCCCAGGGAGATGCGGACCCGTCAGGCCTGGCCTAAGGATACGGACTCAGATGGGGACACCACCTTCCCTTTGCAGTTGTCCTTCCTCTCCAGCCCTTGCTAATTCCTCCTTTCCTTTTATTTTTTGAAATGGAGTGCTTTTGATCAGCACAATTGCAATGAAGCACTTGCTGGCAAGGTGGGCGTACTGGACCTCAGCTCTGCTCTTGGTGTCATGGCAGCCCCGGCCACTGGTGGAACGGGTTCTCTGAACGACTAAGTTCCATTTTTACACAAAGTAGGCTTGGGGCTCAGAGCTGGTGGGGGCAGCCTTTCAGTTGGAATTCAACTACGTACACTCTCCATTCTATTTATATTCTTTTATTCCTTTTTTCAAGACGGAGTCTTGCTCTGTCGCCCAGGCTGAAGTGCAATGGTGTGATCTTGGCTTATTGCAACCTCCACCTCCTGGGTTCAAGTGATTCTCCTGCCTCGGCCTCCCGATTAGCTGGGATTATAGGCGTGCCCCACCACATCTGGCTAATTTTTTGTATTTTTAATAAAGATGGGGTTCCCCCATATTGGCCAGGCTGCTCTCGAACTTCTGACCTCAAGTGATCCACCCACCTCAGCCTCCCAAAGTGCTGAGATTACAGGTGTGAGCCCCTGCACCCTGCCAATAATTTAACTTTTTAATGAAATGACTTCGGACTTAGTAAACTCATGACAGCAAAAAACATTTGGGAAAGGCAGATCTATGCTTTACAGCCTAGAGGTGGGGGAAACCAAGGCCATGTGGATTCTGCCTACAGAACCACATTCCTCTGGAAGCCGGCTAAGACTGGAGAAGGGCTGCACTCCTCTGTTCCATGGGTTCCCACTACCCCCACCACAGGCCTACCCACCTCATCGCACACATGCAAGGCAAAGAAGAGCACCAGCATCCCTGTGGAAGGGTACCGCCCATGATGCTCTGTCCACCTGTCGTGGATATACTTGAAGAAGGCTGGGTTGTAGATCTGGACCTGGGAGAAGAGATGACAGGTACATGAGGGGTTTAGGAACAGATTCAGGCTAGACTGATCAGATTCTGCTTGTCTATGCCCATCAGCAGACATATGTCTGTGTCTCCTGGCTCCTGTGACATCTGCTGGGGACAGGTATCCCAGCACATGGGGACCCTGAGCTTCTGGAGGGGAACTGGAACACACCTAAGCCAAAGGACCAGGTGCACGGGCTGGGCCAGCACTGTTTCCACTGAAGTGGGGAGGAAGTGAGGAGCTTACCTTTTCTTTATCCACTCGAAGGAAGGACTTCACTGGGGCGTAGGTGCTGTAAGCAGACAGAAAGATAACATTTCAGGCCAGATGCGGTGGCTCATGCCTACAATCCCAGCACTTTGGGAGGCCAAGGCAGGTGGATCACCTGAGGCCAGGAGTTCGAAGCCAGCCTGACCAACATGGTGAAACCCCATCTCTACTAAAAATACAAAGATTGGCTGGGTGTGGTGGTACATAGCTGTTATCCCAGCTACTTGGGAGGCTGAGGTTTCAGTGAGCTGAGCTGGGAAGCAGAGGTTGCAGTGAGCTGAGATCACACCACTGCACTCCAGCCTGAGTGACAGAGTAAGACTCCATCTCAAAAAATAAAAGAAAGGTAGCATTTCAGGTAGCCCCATGGGATCTAGGGATACCCCTCCCCACGAAGTCTGAGTGACATCAGCCCGACACCTTCCAGACTGCTCTGCTTCTGGACTGCTCTTCCCCGGCTCGTTCATCACTGCCATGCCTTGCTCCAGAGCCTCCAATGGCTCCCCACGGCATCCAAAATAAAATGGGGATGTTTTAGGCAAGTGCTGAGGCCTTCCCTAGTCCAGCCCCAACCTTCCTCCCCCAGCTCTCTGCTGTGAGCTCTCCATTAGAGCTGGCAATCATCTCAAAGCCACCATGTTTCTGTTCTCACACCTGCCCTCGATCCACTACCCTCAGGCTTTGCACAGACCCCACCTCTCTGCAGCCAGCCATGGCCCCCGTAAGTACATGCCTTTCTCTGAATGTCTATGGTACTTCAACTCTACTGCACTCATTTTAGCCCTCAGGTCTCCCAAACATGACATAATGAATATCCTCAAGTCAGGAAACTATAACTCATTACTTTTGCGTTTATAAAATACATGGTGACAATAACCAAAAGGTAGTAACAAACCAAGTGTCCACTGAAGGCTAAGCAGATACACAAAACAGGTATATCCCTAAAATGGAAGCTTTTTTAGCCTTTAAAAAACACAGGAAATTCTGACACATGCTACAAAATGCATGAACAACAAGGACATTATGTTAAGTCAGTCAGACAAAAGGACAAATATAGTTATGATCTGACTTAAATGAAGCATCAAGAATAGTTAAATCAAGCCGGGTACAGTGGCTCACATCTGTAACCCCAGCACTTTAGGAGGCCAAGGCGGGCGGATCATGAAGTCAAGAGATCAAGACCAGCCTGGCCAACATGGTGAAACCCTGTCTACTAAAAACAGAAACAATTAGCTGGGTGTGATGGCATGTGCCTGTAGTCCCAGCTACTCAGGAGGCTGAGGCAGAAGAATCTCTTGAACCCAGGAGACGGAGTTTGCAGGGAGCCAAGATCGCGCCACCGCATTCCAGCCTGGCAACAGAGCGAGACTCTATCCCCGAAAAAAAAAAAAAGAATAGTCAAATCAGGCCAGGTGAGATGGCTCATGCCTGTAATCCCAGCACTTAGGGAGACCAAGTTGGGCACATCACTTGAGGTCAGAAGTTTGAGACCAGCCTGGCCAACACAGTGAAACCCCGTCTCTACTAAAAAAGAATGAACCCCATTACTGTAATCTCAGCTACATGAGAGGCTGAAGCAGGAGGCTGAAACAGGAGAATCACTTGAACCCAGGAGGCAGAGGTTGCAGTGAGCCGGGATCATGCCACTGCACTCCAGCCTGGGCAACAGAGCGAGACTCGGTCTCAAAAACAAACAAAAAAAAGAATAGTCAAATCATAGAGACACAAAGTAGAATAAGTTTACCTGGGATTGAGGGGCGGGGACAATGGAGAGTTAGTGTTTCATGTGTACAGTTTCCATCTGGGATAATCAAAATGTTCTGGAAATGGAGATGGCTATGCAACAATATGAATATACTTAATGTTACTGAGCTTTACACTTAAAAATAGTTAAAATGGTAAATTTTATATAGTGTTTATTTTACCACACAACAAAAATACATGGTAAGACAGAGAGTAAATTAATGGTTGCCTTGGGCTGGGTGTGGGAGGAGTGGGGATGATGGCTTAGGGACCCAGGGGTATCTAGATTTTTATTTTTAAAGACCCCTTAGACCATGAAAATGTTCCTTTTTTTTTTTGAGGCAGAGCCTTGCTCTGTTGCCTAGGCGGCAGTACAATGGTACAATCTCGGCTCACTCTAACCTCTGCCTCCCAGGTATAGACGATCCAATCCTCCCACCTCAGCTTCCAGAGTATAGAGGCATGCCAGTATATCTGGCTATTTTGTGTGTGTGTGTGTGTGTGTGTGTGTGTGTGTGTGTGTGTGTGTATTTTAGTAGAGACAGGGTTTCATCATGTTGGTCAGGATAGTCTTGATCTTCTGACCTTGTGACCCACCTGCCTCAGCTCCCAAAGTGCTGAAATTACAGGCTTGAGTCACCATGCCCGGCCAATTGTTTTTTTTTTTTTTTTTTTTTTAGACAGAGTCTCTGTCACCTGGCCTATAGTGCAGTGGTGGGATCTTGGCTCACTGCAACTTCTGCCTCCTAGGTTCAAGTGATTCTCCTTACCTTGGCCTCCCAAGTAGGGATTATAGGTACCCACCACCATGCCCAGCTAATTTTTTTGTGTATTTAGTAGAGACGGGGTTTCACTATGTTGGCCAGGTTGCCCTCGAACTCCTGACCTCGTGATCCACCCGCCTCTGCCTCCCAAAGTGATGGGATTACAGGTGTGGGCCACTGCACCTGGCCATTTTTGTATTTTTTATAGAGCAGAGTTTCACCATGTTGCTCAGGGTGGTCTTGAACTCTTGGGCTCAAGCAATCCACCCTCCTTGGCCTCCTAGAGTGCTGGGATTACAGGTATGAGCCACTGTGCCCAGAAGAACATGATAATGTTTTAAAATTAATTGTGGGGCTGGGTGTGGTGGCTCATTCCCTGTAATCCCAGCACTTTGGGAGGCCAAGGCGGGCGGATCACCTGAGGTCAGAAGTTTGAGACCAGCCTGGCCAACATGGCAAAACCCCATCTCTACTAAAAATGCAAAAATTAGCCGGATCCGTGGTGACTCACACCTGTAATCCCAGCTACTTGAGAGGCCGAGGCAGGAGAATCGCTTGAACCTGGGAGGCAGAGGTTATAGTGAGCCGAGATTGTGCCACTGCACTCCAGTCTGGGCAACAGAGTGAGACTCCATCTCAAAAACAAAACAAAAACAATTAATTGTGGGCTGGGTGTGGTGACTCACACCTATAATCTCAACACTTTGTGAGGCTGAGGCAGGTGGATCACTTGACATCAGGAGTTTGAGACCAGCCTTGCCAACATGGTGAAACCCTGTCTCCACTTAAAATACAAAAATTAGCCAGGTGTGGTGGCATGTGTCAGTAATCCCAGCTACTCGGGAGGCTGAAGCACAATAATCACTTAAACCCAGGAGGCAGAGGTTGCAATGAGCCAATATTCCCCTACTGCACTCCAGCCTGGGCGATATAGTGAGACTCCATCTCAAAAACATAATAAAATTTTTAAAAAATAAAATTAATTGTGGTCGTGGTTATACAACTCTGAATATATGAGAAGTTACTAGATTATATACATTAAATAGGTGAGATGTATGGGATGTGAATCATATCTTGATAAAGCTGCTAAAAAATATACTTGGTGAACTAGATTTCCCATGGTTCCCAGCTATGATGGGATAACTGCCCCCAGAGAAAGTCCTCAGAAGGCAGAGCTCCCTCAGTTGGGAACCGTCACCCAGAAAGGAGACCAAAACCTCATCTTTCCACTATCAGTATGCTAGGTGTCACCACGCAGGAAGTGACACAGAGCAAGCTGTGCCTTCAGCTCACCCACCATCTTAGGCCCTCCCTTCTCACCAGCCCCTCTTGGCCAAAATGTTCAATGAAAGGAATTCTACAGTCTGGCCACCAGGAAGACTCTGCCCAAGGTGTTCCTGTCACCCATATTCTACCAGGGCCAGCAAGAGGCTCACAATCGGATCTGCCCTGTGGACAGGGCGCTGGCAATCCACAGAAGGTCCAGGGCCTTGAAGGGGACCAGCACGAAGCTGACGTTGGCGGGCAGGTTCTTGGCACTCTCAGGGTACATGAAATGGTGGGTGGTTCGGCTGCCAACATCCTGCTCGAAGCCCACAGTTGGTGCCTGATTCATCCTGCAGGGACAAGAGGGTGACAAGAGAACTCCCATGGAAACGGGTACAAGATTCTTAGAGGACAGTTTGAGGCCATCCATCAAAAATGCAAATAATGTATACTCCAACACAGCAATTCCACTGCTAGAAATCTATCCTATAAAAATGGCTGCATAGGTGTGCAAAGGTATGTATGAAGATATTCACTGCAGAATTATTTACAATAGTAACAACAGAATCAATCAAACAGGCCAGGTGTGGTGGCTCACGCCTGTCATCTCAGGACTTTGAGAGGCTAAGGTGGGCTGACTGCTTGAAGCCAGGAGTTTGAGACCAACCTGGGCCAACATGGTGAAATCCCATCTCTACTTAAAAAAAAAATACAAAATTAGCTGGGTGTGGCAGCATACACCTATAATGCCAGCTACTTGGGAGGCTGAGGCAGGAGACTGGCTTGAACCTGGGAGGCAGAGGTTGCAGTGAGCCAAGATCACACCATCACACTCCAGCCTGGGTGACAGAGCAAGACTCTGTCTCAAAAAATAAAAATAAAAAGCAATGGTTACTCTCAGAATAAGATTGGGGGCTTAACCCATTTTTATTATATACGTTTTCATTTATTATTATTATTATTATTATTATTGTTTAGACATGGTCTCACTCTGTTGCCCAGGCTGGAGTGCAGTGGTGCTATGTCGGCTCACTGCAACCTCTGCCTCTGCCTCCTGGGTTCAAGCGATTCTCCTGCCTCAGCCTCCTGAGTAGCTGGGACTACAAGCACATGCCAGCACGCCCAGCTAATTTTTGTATTTTTAGTAGAGACGGGGTTTCACCATGTTGGCCAGGCTGGTCTTGAACTCCTGGCCTGAAGCAATCTGCCCACCTCAGCCTCCCAAAGTGCTGGAATTACAGGCGTGAGTCACTGAGCCTAAACAATTTTTGTTTGTTTTTACATCTCATCTGTCACCCAGGCTGGAGTGCAGTGGCATCATCATGGCTCACTGCACACTCGACCTCCTGGGCTCAATTGATCCTCCAGCTTTGGCCTCCCAAATGGCTGGGACCACAGGCGTGCATCACCACACCGTATTTTGTTCTCTGTTTTGTAGAGACGAGGGTCTCACTATGTTGTCCAGGCTGGTCTCAATCTCCTGAACTTAAGCAATTCTCCTGTCTCAGCCTCCTGAGTAGCTGGGACTACAGGCAGATGCCACTATGCCTGGCCTACTTTTATAATTTTTTAAAGAAATAACTTTTAAAAACAGCCTTCCACAGCTTCCACTGACCTGGCTATTCTGCCAGGTTTCTATAAGGCGAAAGCAAGATAGGAAGGTCAAGCCTCCCCTCAGCCCCTGGGCTGGATGGAAGTCTCACTCCTGCCACCACCCACCACCTTGTTCCTATCTGCTGCTTTAAGACCCTGTGGGCCCTTCTACTCCAAGGCCAAGAGAAATGCCCCAAGTTCTGATGGTGTCTGCTGTTGGTGTCTTTCTCGTGATGTGCAATGTCCCCTCTCTCCTGCTGCTGTCTAAAGAGGGGACATTGCTGTGGCTCCTGTCTAGAAACTCTCTCCATGGGTATAATAGCCAAGAAGGCCTCTACTTCCTTTCAATTTGTGCAAAATATAGGACAAGTAAAACCAAAGTTCCCCTTTTTAATAATCATCTTACATAACAGGTGAACCAGGCTTAAACACAAACCTGTTGGTCTTTTTTTTTTTCTGCTATGACTGTTCATGAGGACATTCCTGTCTCGCCTGGACCACCTTGTGGAATAATAACTACCAAGACAGGGTGACTGTAACCTGGCCCTCCACTAGGAGCACAAGGACCTGGGGAGGAAGGGAGTGCAGTCTCTAGGTGGCTCTCCCGACTTTTTATGCCAGTTCTGTAAAACCAGCACAAACATTCCCTGTCCTTACAGTGGCTGGCACCAGCTAGCTGGGCTGGGTGAGGACTTGCTGTGTTGCACGGGCTCCCACGCTGTCCTCATCAGGGACAGGACTGGGGAGGACCATGGGCTGTGCTGTCCAGGATCCCTTCGCCCCACTGGTCCCACGGTTGTGTCTCCTACCTCTCATTTTCCCTTCCCTTGAGGGTCTGGAGGGTGCTTTGGGGTGGGAGCCCTCAAAGCCTAGAGAATATCTGGGCCTTAACCACTTCTGTTCTAGCTGGCTTCAAACAGATGTCCAGAATTCCCTCCAGAGAAACTAACATGTTCTGTCTCCAGAACAAGGATCTAGTTTCTGCCTCCCTCTCCCAAATTCATGTTTTTCAGTGAACTGCCCCTTTGAGCCTGGTCTTTAGGGTTCAGAGATCCTATATCCCAGAAGAGCTGAGAAGTATTTTTCCCACCCATGAATAATTCCTAACAGCTCGTGGGCTGCTAAACTCCCACGCAGGCACTGGTGTCCTAGGGTTACACTGACACAGTCTGGATCTGCCTACGGCCAAGCACTCTGGGACCTGTGAGGAACAGAGCAATTGGAGAGGAAGCCTTAACAGGGGATGCCAGAGCCAGAAGTATGTCTCAGCTGCCAAGGGTACTGCAGGGGTAAGCAGGAGGTGGAGGAACTGGGCTGGTGACACTCAGGCTGGCTGGGATCTGGGCGGGGCAGGAGCTAGGATCAAGATGTACTCTTCCTCTTTTTTAAAAAACTAGAGATGGGGTTTTGTCATATTGCCCAAGCTGGTTTCAAACTCCTGGGCTCAATCAATCATCTCGCCTCAACCTCCCAAAATGCTGGGATTATAGGCATGAGCCACCATGCCCGGCCAAGATATATACTTGAGAAGACCTAAGTGATGAACTTCATCTCATCAGAGATGGTGAGGCTAAGAGATCCTGCAGTGCACCGGGCTACAGCTGGCCCCAGCTGGCTTCTCAAGACCCACCATCCACCTTCTCCACTGACTTGGCAGCCTGAGCTATCATGAAGTCCCCATGGGACCTGTTAGCCAGGCTTACCCTGCCTTCTGCACGTGAGTGGCCATGCTACAGAGCCTGCCCCTCCTCCCTCGCTTCCCCTGTGTCTAGGGGAACACCAGCTTCCAAACATCTGGGAATTAAAGGAGCAAGAGGTCCCAAAAAATGTTTCACAGCCTCCACGGGAAAGGGAAGGAACATGGCACTGTAAGGGGGACAAGGTTTTGTTTCAAGGCTCTGATTCATCCTGGAGAAGCCACACCCTGGAAAGGGGCCAGAGCAGGATGGTGAGGATGAGCTGCATCTCTGGGACTCAGGGACACAGCATTCTAGAAATCTATCTGTCCTTGGCTGCCTCTAGCAGCCAAAGAAGTACTCAGGGACAGGGGCGCAAGCAGGGTGTGTGCTCTCTGGCTAGGACCTCATATTGGCTGCCTAGTCCTCTTCACTCCTGCATGTATCTGTAGTGCGCCTACTGTCTAGCAGGCACTGTTCTTGGAGTTGTGGATGGATCTGCTGGCCAACTAAGGCAGGACCAGCTCAACTGGACTTGGAGTGGTCCACAGGGGCTCAGAGGACAAATAGGAGGAGGAAGGGGTGGTGAGGCGGGCAGGGCACAGGTGGGTTAGGCCATCATCTTGCTGTAATTCAGCTCAGCCCTCCAGTGAGTCTTTTGTTGGTCTTGTTTCCAGAAACACTGGTTCCAAACCTGGATATGCCTACAATTGAAGTCACCCCCACCGCCATCTGTTGTTTTTGTTTTTGAAATGGGGTCTTGCTCTGTTGCCCAGGCTGGAGTACAGTGGGGCCATCATAGCTCACCACAGTTTCAAACTCTTGGCTCAAATTATCCTCCTGCCTTAGCCTCTCACGTATCCAGGACTGCAGGCTCACATCAGCAAGCCCAGCTTATCCACTGCCATCTGGTTCATTATACACACCAGAAGACAGCCAATTACTACCTGGGTCACCCCTTCCAGAAAGTGATTCTGGGGTCCACTCTATACACCCCCCATTCCTCACCTGGCCCTGTGAGGAAGCATCTATAAATTGCTTCTTTCCTCTCCTCAGCAGACAGCCAATTACTACCTGGGTCACCCCTTCCAGAAAGTGATTCTGGGGTCTGTGAGGAAGCATCTATAAATTTCTCCCCTCTCCCTCTCTCTCTCCCCCTCTCTCTCTCTCTCCCTCCCCTCCCCCTCCTCCTTCTTCTCTCTCTCTCTCACTCTCCCCCTCCCCTCCCCTCTTTCTTTCTCTCTCTCTCCTTCTTTCCTCCAGATGGAGTTTCTCTCTTGTTGCCCAGGCTGAAGTGCAATGGTGTGATCTCAGCTCACTACAACCTCTACCTCCTGGGTTCAAGCGATTCTCCTGCCTCAGCCTCCCAAGTAGCTGGGATTACTAGCACATACCACCATGCACACCTAATTTTTGTATTTTTTGTAAAGACAGGGTTTCACCATGTTGACCAGTCCAGTCTCAAACTCCTGACCTCAGATGATCCACCTGCCTCGGCCTCCCAAAGTGCTGGGATTACAGGTATAAGGCACCGTGCCCAGCCTTATAAATTTCATTCTGATAGTACTGGCAAGGTGACTTAGAGCCAGTCCTTTAGGGCCTGAATCCGGGCTTCCACCTAGGAGCTTCCTGACCATCACTGAGGTGCCTGCCCAGTGAAAGCTCAAACTTGATGCAGGTGCTTCAGGCACCTGAGAGCACTGTTCTGGGCTTTCCGAGTGCCCAGGGCTGCACTGAAGTGACAGATGCCTCAATCCCCAACCTGGTCATGGTCTCTGGGGAAGGGAGTGGCTCCTCTAAGACCAGCTCCCATCCCATTTCCCTCCCATTGGGGTATCAGCAGTTGGGGGATACGGACACCCTTAGGTTGCTCAGAGTCCTGGACAGGGTGTGGTCTATTCTGCTCACCCTCCCACGTGCACAATTTCCCAACGCGAGGAAGGTCTTACATGGAATGCTGAATGCCTCCAAGATATATTGCTGCCTTCGTGTTGCTATGGAGACAGGAACAAGACAAAGCCCTCCCTTCCGCCTCCTGGGAAACCTGGTCTTCCTGCAATGCTCATCCTAAAAGATGCGTGAAAACTGGGCATTGGCAGGAGCCCTGTTCTTCAGGCTCCTCCTCTACCAAGGAGTTGGGTAGAAGGATCCCCACTGTGGCATTTCTTCTCCCCAGCCAAGTCAAGGGGGGATGTCAGAAAACACAGGCTCTGGAGCAGAGCGAGCAGCCTACGTTCAGGTCACAAGCCTGCCCTCTATTCCCTGTTCACACCCAGGCCTTCACTACAGAGTCTCGGTCAGGACTGAAGCTCCTCCCAACCCTTCTCCCTTCCTCATGGCTGGGCATAGAGGTGTTGGGAATGAATGAGCCCCAGAGCAAATACCAAACAGCTCCTTTCAGTGCCCAGAACATCTGTCTTCCTTGCGTCTGCCAGAGAGAATCCCTGTTGCTATGAAGCAGGATGCTAGCTGTGCTTGGGGCCTTCATTCCTTGGCCAGCTACTGATAAGATGAGGAGGATAGGGCTGGTTTCTGATGGGAATTTTGGTTTTTAAGACAGGGTCTCAGTCTGTTGCCCAGGCTGGAGTGCGCTTGTGTAATCATAGCTCACTGTAGCCTCAAACTCCTGGGTTTAAGCACTCCTCCCACCTCAGCCTCTCAAAGTGCTGGAATTACAGGCGTGAGCCACCCTATAAAAAAAATCCCTCTCGTGGGATTTTTCACTGAACGTCAGCCAGGAGTCTAATGTCAGCTCTTTCCAAAGGAATTCAGAGCCTTGGAAACAAAGTGCAGGCCTCCAGCAAAACTTAGATTGGGGATTCTGCCTCCCTATCCACCCCAAAAGGGCAAAGGAGAGAGCTGCAAGCCTGCCACGGAAGGCTCTGGGAGGCAGGGCCCCACAGCACCCTGGTAGCTGGCAGCGTGCACCCTGCCAGACAAGGCGGAGGAGGCAGTCGCCCTCCCAGAGGCCTGTGGTGGGCCCACCCTCGGGCTCTGCAGCGTCTCACCTCATGATGAAGTTGTGCCCGTCTATGTCCTGCCCGTAGCCAGAGCCCCGCAGGTTGCCTGAGTTCCCCACCACAGCACATCGCCAGCACTGGTGGGGGTCCCGGAAGCGGTAGGGGTTCTCGCCGGGTACTATCTGGAACAGCTTCTCCAGCACCTCGTTGGTATTGTGTGACTTGAACTGAGGCTGCAGCATCTGTGGAAGGGAGGGGAAGACGGGAAAGGAGGAAGGGGAGAGGCATGTCAGTAGGGAGGAGCCCTGGCCTCCCCTCCTCTGTCTTCATTCTCCAGTGTCTGGGCACAAGCCTCTTTATCCAGGGCTTTGCCAGGGAACAGGGATTCTTTCCTCTGGTCAGTGAGGGTCCCTCCCTCTCTCCATGACAGCAAAGTCCCCAGTTGTGAGTCTCAATGTCCAGAGATTGGGTGCCCTACTAGTCAAGGGCGGCTCTGAGGCACTGGAGGGGGCTCAGGGGTCAAGGTGCCCTCCACACATTTTCTGGGGACCTGCAGGCCTAGGCCACAGAGGAGAGCAGCCTCCTTCACAGGCTCCTTCCCAGTCAGCCTACAGGGGGCATCCCAGGCACCTCAGGCTGAGGACTGCAGTTACAGAAGCTACCTCCAGGGGACAATCCAGCCAACTCCCTGAGTTCCCAGGGCAGGGCAGAGAGGCTGATAAATTCTTTCAGAGCCAGAACGGGTGAAATAAAACTGGTGTCTGCTCCTACCAGTGAAATCTATACCAACCAGCTGATGGTCAAAGACCATGAAACAAGGCAGTGCCAACCACTTACAGGCCAGCAGGTGCCGCACAGGAGTGATGTGGCAGGTGAGGTCCACAGCCAACAGATCTGAGCCCCGGCAAAGAGGGGCAACTTAAGCCAACTGCTGCCACATGGGATCATCAGCCCAAAAGGGCCAAATTTTCTCATTTTTCAAGAGACACTGAAAATGATGATTTCATGAAATAAGAAAAATAAAATCCTGATTTTTTTTTTTGAGACAGATCTCACACTGTTGCCCAGGCTGGAGTACAGTGGCACAATCTCAGCTCACTGCAAACTCCGCCTCCCAGATTCAAGCCATTCTGCCTCAACCTCCCAAGTAGCTGGGATTAAAGGCACCTGCCACCATGCCCAGCAAATTTTTTGTATTTTTAGTAGAGATGGAGTTTCACTATGTTGGCCAGGCTGGTCTCAAACTCCTGACCTCATGATCTGCGTGCATCAGCTTCCCAAAGTGTGATTTTATTTATTTATTTATGTGTTTATGTATTTATTTATTTTCGAGACAGAGTTTTGCTTTTGTTGCCCAGGCTTGAGTGCAATGGTGGGATCTTGGCTCACCGCAACCTCTGCCTCCCAGGTTCAAGCAATTCTACAGCCTCAGCCTCCAAGTAGCTGGGATTACAGGCATGCACCATAATGCATGGCTCATTTTGTATTTTTAATAGATACAGGTTTTCTCCATGTTGGTCAAGCTGGTCTCAAACTCTTGACCTCAAGTGATCCAACCATCTTGGCCTCCCAAAGTGCTGGGATTACAGGCATGAGCCACTCACTGTGCCCAGTTGAAATCCTGATTTCTAAATGTTGGTAAGTAATGCACATATTTTAAAAACACTGAATGAGCTGCACTTGGCCCATGGGCCACCAATTGGTAATGTTAATTAAAATGCTCTGTGGGGGCCATGCGCGGTGGCTCATGCCTGTAATCCCAGCACTTTGGAAGGCTGAGACAGGTGGATCACCTGAGATCAGGAGTTTGAGACCAGCCTGGCCAACATGGTGAAACTTTGTCTCTAGTAAAAATACAAAAAATAGCTGCTCGTGGTGGTGGGCACCTGTAATCCTAGCTACTTGGGAGGCTTAAGCAGGAGAGTCACTTCAACTCAGGAGGTGGAGGTTGCAGTGAGCTAAGATCAAGCCACTGCACTACAGCCTGGGCGACCAGAGTGAGATTCCATCTCAAAAAAAAATAAATGTTCTGTGGCCAGGCAAGGTGGCTCACGCCTGTAACCCCAGCACTTTGGGAGGCTGAGGCGGGTGGATCACTTGAGGCCACAGGTTCAAAACCAGCCTGGCCAACACAGCAAAACCCAATCTCTACTAAAAACACAAAAATTAGCCAGGCGTGGTAGCACGTGCTTGTAATCCCAGCTACTCAGGAGGCTGAGGCATGAGAATCACCTGAACCAGGAGATGGAGGTTGCAGTGAGCCAAGATCGCACCTTTGTATTCCAGTCTGAGCAAAAGAGCAAACCTCTGTCTCAGAAAAAAAAAAAAAATGGAGGCTGAGACAGGAGAATTGCTTGAACCTAGGAGGTGGAGGTTGCAGTGAGCCAAGATCACGCCACTGCACTCCAGCCTGGGTGACAGAACAACACTGTCTCAAAAAAAAGAAAATGTTCTGTGGGCCAGTCATGGTGGCTCATACCTACAATCCTAGTGTTTTGAGAGGCTACACTGAACTAATATTATACCACCCCACACCAGCAGGGATGATAGAGCAAGACCCTGTATCTAAAAACATAAAAATAGGCTGGGTGCAGTGGCTCATGCCTGTAATCCCAGCACTTATGGAGGCCAAGGCAGGTGGATCACTTGAGGTCAGGAGTTTGAGACCAGCCTGGCCAACATGGTGAAATCCTGTCTCTACTAAAAATAAAAAAATTAACTGGGCGTGGTAGTAGACGCCTGTAATCCCAGTAATCGCCTGAAGGAGGAGAATCACTTGAACCCGGGAGGCGGAGATTGGCAGTGGGCCAAGATCATGCCCTGCACTCCAGCCTGGCGACAGAGTGAGACTCCATCTCAAAAACAAAAACAAAAACAAAACCACACACGCATACATAAAAATAAAATAAAACGTTCTGTGGGTGGAGCCATAACTTGAAGGGTTTGTGGCTGAGCAGGGCCTGCTCAGGGATGGAAGATTGATCTGTAGAGGGAGTTTGGCTCTGAGACAAGAATTCCTATACAAAAATTAGCCAGGCGTGGTTGCCTGCACTTGTAGTCCCAGCTACTCTGAAGCTCAGGTGAGATCGCTTGAGCCTGGGGCGTCAAGGATGCAGTGAGCCAAGATTGTGCCACTGCAGAGACAGGGAGAACTTGTCTCAAAAAAAGCTGTCACATTAAGAGCCCACAGGGCTCCTAGTGGCCCCAGCTCTGCAGACCCTGGTCCTCGGGCACTCTGACAGTCTGGGCCAAAAGGCAGGTTCTGTGGCATCGTTCTGATAAGCCTGATCACCTGAGCTCATCCCTCATGGCTTGGGAGCCTGTGGGGGCTCAGTGCTGACACAGCTCCATCTTGACATGTGCAGCAACCAGACAGCCTGCAGACCCTGTGGAGCGACACTGCAGAGGCTTGGCATGAGGTAGAAGGAATTAAAAGTAGTGGAAAAGTGATGACTGGAAGGACAGGGAGGACCCCTGCAGCCCCGCCCCTTCACCTCCCTTATCCCCTGAGGGTCTCTTTTACTTACTTTTTTTTTTTTAACTCTATAATCAGGCAACACTTTATTTCATAAAATAGATTAAGTCTTCCCTACAAGGCTTTCTTATCCTAGCTCAGTAAAAAGTCTTCCAGCAGTTGTAAAGAACCAAGCAAGGGACTCTGCTCTCATGGTATTTACAATTATTTTGGCTGGGCATGGTAGCTCACACCTGTAATCCCAGCACTTTGGGAGGGTGATGCAGGCGGATCATCTGAGGTCAGGAATTTGAGACCAGCCTGGCCAACATGGTGAAACCCTGTCTCTACTAAAAATGCAAAAAAATTAGCTGGGTGTGGTAGCGCATGCCTGTAATTCCAGCTACTCAGGAGGCTGAGGTAGGAGAATTGCTTGAACCTGAGGTGGAGGTTGCAGTGAGCGATCACTGCACCACTGAACTCCAGCCTGGATGACAGAATGAGAATCTGTCTCAAAAAACAATTATTTTGAGCCAATGTTTATAAATTAGAATATTTTAGTTTTAAAAATTGGGATTCCTGGGTTTTCTTAAAAGAAAACCCAGATCCAACTTCATGCAGTAACAACTGCTGGGGCTGAGGGGCGGCTGCTTCCTACTTCCGGGGCAGGCCCCCCATGGCCGTGCTCCCTGCTCCCACCTGCTCCCTGCATCCATGCTGCCTGCCTGGTCCAGGAGGCACTTCTGGCCTATGCTCAGCTCCTTACAAGCACTGGAAAATACTAGCTCCTTTCATCAGGTCAGCACTCTTTGCCCTTCAGTAATCTGTGATCCTATTAATGGCTCTGGTCAAAAGGGCATTACACTTTGTCAAGGCTCTGGGGGCCAGAAATCCAAGAGGGGGCCCTGAGTGGCTCTAAAACTGGGGACAGACCCCCAGAGATGGGCAGTGACTCTTACCATCCACCACCTCTGGACATCAGGTGGAAGATCCATGTTCTCTCGGGTCCAGACGGGGGAAATGTTGCCATCGAAGTGGCTGTCAAACCAGTCGGAGGCACCGGCGTTGCCCATGCAGCGGCGACAGGCACAGCTCTTGCCCGAGAGACCCTCCTTACTGAGGCGCTGCAGGCCGGCATAGCCAGGCACCAGCTTCACCCGGTGCGTCCCGCCCAGGGCCGCCGAGTCCAGGTAGGGCAGTGTGGCCATGCTGTGATGTGAGTAGGTGAAGAGCAGGGACATGATGAACACCAGCAGGAAGGCCACAGAGAGGAACCACACCCGCAGGGAGCACTTCATGGTGCTGGCAGTCACACGGCGGTCACCGTGGCCACTCCTTTCCCAGCCCACTGAGGGGCCAGCCACGGCGTAGCCTGACTGTTGTGGCACCACATGCAAAGGGCATAGGGGCAGCTGCTGCAGCAGGGGACAGTGGCAGGGCCCTTGCTACGCCCTCCCTCAACGTGGGGAGAACGCACGTTGGCAGGAGTTGCTGTCCTGTCCCTGAGTCAGGCGGGCCCCTGCTTAGAGCTTCATCGGGTCTCTCCGTCACTAGCTGGGCCACAGAGGCTCTGCCTCTTCCGCCACTCTGGCGAGGGGGAGGTCAGTCCATCGCAGCCCTTTAGTCCCTTGGGATTGCTGGCTGCCAGCTCTAGGGGTCCCCCTCTTTGGTGGCTTGAAATAATCCAGTCTGGAGCAGTTGGGGACTTCGTGGCTCATGAGCAGACACTGAGGCGGCCCCTCGTCCCTGGCAGCAGGGAAGCCCTAGAACTCCAGTCTCAATGGAGAGCACATGGACTTCAGGGGACCTGGGTTCCATGCAAGGGTTGTCCCACCTTGGCTGATCCTCTTGGCCCAACACCTCTGCTGGAGGAGGGGAGCTAGACCCCAACCCTGAGAGGAGAAAAACAGGAAGTGCTGTGAGCGTTGGAAAACTCCACTATAGACTGAGATCCTTCTCGTCGGAGTTCCTGTCCATCTGAGGTGCTGGTCCCTTCTCCTGGTGGCCACAGTCCAAGCTACAGTCACGTAAGGGTTGCAAAGCTCCTACTGTGGCTGTGGGGTCCTCTGGCACTGGGCAGGGCACTGTGTCCAATATCTTCTGGGTCAGGCGAGCATGTGTCGAGCTCCCCGCCAGGGCCCAGGCCTCCTTCCTGGTACCTCTGGCCAGGGTTCGGCAGCAGCACTGCCCATCCCCACTCCCCCGGGGCCAGCCTGTCCTGCTGTTAGCTCGTAGTAATCCCCTGGCAGGTTTCCCTTCACTTGTGAGGCGCCAGGCTGCCGCAGCACGACCCTAGAATGACAGAGAGGGGAAATAATGTGTGGATGAATAGCAGGGATACCGGGCTCTGTCCCAGCTCCACCCCAAGTCCCAGAGGGGACAAAGCTAGCAGGAGAGGAGACGCCCACATAATCAGATGGTGGACATGACCAAGGGGGCTCTGCTCTCTAACTGCACAGACAGCATCACTCTGTGGGACTCCAGGGCCTGGAGGACTAGATTAGCCCAGAGTTTTCACTTCTTAGCCAGAAGGTAAACAAGGAGTAAAGTGATTTTCCCTAAGCCACATGCTGGATGGATCAGGTTTAGAAAGTTCCTAGTCCAGCTATGTGCAGTTAATTTCAGGCAAAACGTCAGGGAAAATGGCCCAGAGAAGATCCCAGGGGAGTATGGATTGACTGCCCCCAACAGCACTCTCTGGAGCCTGTCAGTGCCTGCAGAGGTTTCTCCCAGTAAGAAGGGAGGGCTGGCCAGTCTCTGTGACTGCCCCACTTCTCTTGTCTGTGGATTATCAATGAAGCATTGCTGGGTCCACTCAGTGAACCATGAACAGTCCTGCCAGCTCTGGTGCTGGGGAGAACCTGTCTGTGTCAGGAGGTGCGGTTGCTGGGCTTGATCCTGCCCCCGACAGCCCTCTGGGCAGTTGCCTACCTCCATCTGAACATTATAACAAAGTGAATGCCAGGGTCCCTAGCAGCACTGACAGGCTGAGGCCCCATGCTGCCCAAGCAGGCAAGAACAGGGAGAAGAGGCCACTTGTAGGGCAATTGGGGTCTCAGCCATAAGGAAAGGAGCTCAGATCCATGCCAGGTGCAAGGGAGCCAAAGTGGGTCAGAGGAACGCTGAGAAGGGAGCCCCTGAGCGCTGGCTCCGTGCCTTGGGAATCCTACAAACCTGGCTGCCTCACCTCTCCCAACCCCCCTCCAAATCTGCCTAGCCACACTGCTGACCTAGCCCCTGGGCCTCACAGAGCAGCCCTGCTCCCTGTCCTTGTTGAAGTCTCTAGCCCCCTTTTGGGGTCTCCTGGCTGTTTCCAGCAGCTGCAGACAAGGTCTCTCAGGCTCTGTGCTTAAGAAACCAGCTGCCCCTCCATTTGTGGCCACAAAGCCAGCAGGGAATGGAACAAGCATATTACAAAAAGGACATTATTCTGGGTGGGAAAATGATGTTCACAAAAGTAGAGGAACTTATCTAAGGTCACGACCTTGTGAATGGAGGTGGCTTTGGGATGGGCCAGGGCACAGAGGTGAGAGGGAAGGGGACATGGAGTTGGCTTCTCAGGATCAAGAGTGAAGCCCCACCCACGGGCCTCACTAGTGCTCCTGGCTTTACTCCATGGAGATCCCAGCAGCACTGGCTTAAATATGCTTCTTCCAATGTTCTGCTGTACCCATTTAGCAGATCCCACTCTAGGCATGGCCTTGGCTGAACTGTCTGTAGATGGGAAGCCAGGTCATTGTCTCTTTCCATTCTCTCTTTGCCAATGTATGCCCAACATCTAAAGAAAGAACTTGAGTTCTTCCAGGGTCCCGCTCCCAGCTTCCTGTGACCTGAGGAGAGCCAGTCACCATGCAGGTGGCCCTGGAAGGCAGTGATTTTGCAGCTGATGGGAGCGAGACATCCTGGCTAGGCAGCCCCCCAGTGGCCACTGAAGCCAGGGGCTGCACAGAGCTGGCACAAGAGGCTTCCAAAGGAAGCAACTCCATCAGGAAAGTCATTAACTCCTGGGGTTCTGGATCAATGCAGGAGGCATCTGAGGTAACCGCACTGCCTGTGAGGAGAGGAAAATCCCTGGTTTTGACAACATGGCTGGAAAGAGCAGAGAAGTAGAGCATCTGGCAAAGGCCCCTGCTTTGGGAACCCCAGGTCCAGGTGTTACTGTGAACTTAAGCTGCTCAGCTTGTGGTGGTGAAGGCAAATAGAGCGATGAGGAGGAGCTAAAAAAAAAAAAAATTAGAGGTCCCCAGACATGCACTAAAGATCCCAAAAATCACCAGGCGCTGACCCTCTCACAGTTCATTTCCACCTGTGCCCCTCAGCAGCTCCCCTTCACAGCTACTCAGATCATTCACAATCCATGCACACCTCCATATAAAAAGCTCAGAGAAGGCCAGGCACCATAGCTCATGCCTGTAATCCCAGCACTTTGGGAGGCCAAAGTGGGAGGATCACCTGAGGTCAGAAGTTTGAGACCAGCCTGACCAACATGGTGAAACCCCATCTTTACTAAAAATACAAAAAATCAGCTGAGTGTGCTGGCGGACACCTGTAATCCCAGCTACTCGGGAGCCTAAGGCAGGAGAATTACTTGAACCTGGGAGGCGGAGGTTGCAGTGAGCCGAGATCATGCCATTGCACTCCAGCCTGAGCAACAAGAGCAAAACTCTGTCTCAAAACAAACAAACAAACTCGGAGGGGGCTGGGCACAAGTGGCTCACACCTGTAATCCTAGTACTCTGGGAGACTAAGGCGGGCAAATCACTTGAGGTCAGGAGTTTAAGACCAGCCTAGCCAACACGATGAAACCCCATCTCTACTAAAAATACAAAAATAAGGCAGGTGTGGTGGCACATGCCTATACTCCCAGTTGCTCAGGGGGCTGAGGCAAGGAGAACCCTGGAGGCGGAGGTTGCAGTGAGCTGAGATTGCACCACTGCACTCCTGTCTGGGCAAGACATCGAGACTCTGACTAAAAAAAAAAAAAAAAAAAAAAAAAAAATTAGCCAGGCATGGTGGTGTGTGCCTCTAGTCCCAGTTACTTCGGAAGCTGAGGTAGGAAGATCACCTGAGCCTGGAGAGGTTAAGGCTGCACTGAGCTGTGATGATACCACTGCACTCCAGCCTGGGTGACAGAGTGAGATCCTGTCTCTAAATAAAAAAATAGCATTCCCATCACCCCAGAAAGTTCTTTTTGCTCCCTGCCAGTCCATACCCAAGGCCCCTTCACTTTTCTGACTTCCGTCACCAAAGGTCAGATGTGCCTGCCCTTAAGCTTCACAGAATCACCCAGGACAGATGCACTTGGGTGTGCCCTGGGGATCCGCTTTGTCTGCTGTGTGTCAGTTGCTTGTTCTTTTCCCACGTTCGAACATTTGAGTGTTAGGAAAAAAGCTGCATGAACTTCTTTGCCAGTCTTTTCGTGGGCACATACTCCCACTTCTCTTGGAAATAAATACCTGGGAGTGGAACTGCTGGGTCATAGGGCAGGAGGGTGTTTAATTTACCAGAAATTATCAGCCTCCAAAGTGGTTGGAGCATTAGGCATTCCCACCTGTGAAATATGAGTTCCAGAGTTCCATTTGTTTCATGTCCTTGATATTTTCAATCTTTTTAATTTTAGGCATTCTGGTGGGTGTCTAGTAAACGCTACTGTTTTTACTACTAGGTATGTAGGAACCTGTGCACCAGGACCTGTACAGGAATGTTTATAACAGCACTGTGTAATAGCTGAAAACTACAAACAATTCAAATGTCCATCACTATAGGATCAATAAATTGTGGTGCATTTGTACCATACAGTAAAATGAATAAACTCCAGTTTTAGACATGAACAAAGATGAATATGGCCAAAAAACTATTATGTCAAGTTGAAAGAGTGGTCATGGATAAATGATCACAGCATGAATCCATGAAAAGCTAAAAAATATGTAAGACATTGTCTACGTCTCTCTAAAAGACAGTAATAGAGAAAATCAAGGAAACAACATAAAATTCAGGGAATTCCTCTGGAAGGGGAAGAAAGGTAGATGAAATAAGGAGAGCTGGAGTACTGGGTACCTCATAATCCAGGTGGTGGGTACAGAAGTTTTTTTTCTTTTGAGATGGAGGCTTGCTCTGTCGCTCAGGCTGGAGTACAATGGTGTGATCTTGGCTCACTGCAGTCTCCTCCACCTTCCAGTTCAAGCAATTCTCCTGTCTCAGCCTCCTGAGTGGCTGGGATTATAGGCACATGCCACCATGTCCAGTTAATTTTTTGTATTTTTAGTAGAGATGGGTTTCACTATGTTGGCCAGGCTGGTTTTGAACTCCTGCCCTCAGGTGATCCACCCACCTTGGCCTCCGGAAATGCTGGGATTACAGGCGTGAGCCACCATGCCCAGCCATGGTGTATTTTTTATGTTTACTCTTTATATTTTTTATTGTTGTTTTAATGTGTTGCAATTCACAATGTTTATTCTTTCTTTTTAAATTTATAATTTTCTTTATTTTTTTGCCAGAAGATATTCTCATCTGAACAATATTTATTCTTTAAAGAGCACACGTATAATATATACTACTTTGAGTCTGTGATGCATTTCATAGTAAAATCTAAAATTCTCTTAGGTTAAAACATGTTTTGTTTTATTTTTACTTATATAAATAAGTAAAATATAATAAATACATAAATAAAATTTATTTATTTGGGAGACCAGAAAGGAACTGCTGCAATATCCCAGGTGGTGGAGAAATGGTTGTATGTACTCTGAAAGGCTTAACTAGTAGGGTTGGAGGGTACAAGGAGGGGGCCCATGGGGAGGGGAAGCAGGTGGGAAGAGAAGGAGAGGAATCAAGGAAACACAGAGCCTGCAGCCTGAGCAACCTGGTGCACGGGGGTGCCATTCACTATACAGAAAAAAAAAAAAAACAACTATGGGTTTGGGTGGGAAAAAAACAAAAGTTCTGGTTAAACTTAAGATATCTTTAGGCTGGGTGCTGGGCGCAGTGGCACGTGCCTGTAGTCCCACCTACTAGGGAGGCTGAGGTGGGAGGATTGCTTGAGCCCAGGAGTTCTAGGCTGTAGTGCTCTATGCCGATTGGGTGTCTGCACTAAGTTCAGCATCAATATGGTGACCTCCTGGGAGCGGGGGACCACAAGGTTGCCTAAGGAGGGGTGAACCCGACCAGGTTGGAAACGGAGCAGGTCAAAACTCCCGTGCTGATCAGTAGTGGAATCGTGCCTGTGAATAGCCACTGCACTCTAGCCTAGGCAACATAGCGAGACCCCATCTCTAAAAAACAAACAAACAAACAAA